TACCTTATTTTTCTTCAGGCTACTCTTTAACATAAATTTTGGAATTAGTTTGTAAACTTCCACGAAAAAAACCCCAGAAAAGATCCTATTGATCAATTTGGAAGAAATCAACATCTTTAGGCTACTGAGCCTCCCAACCCATGAGAATAGTATGCCTATCTATTTATTCTTTATTTCAATCAAGTGTTGTAATTTTCACTATAGATGTATACATTTTTACTGGATTTATTCCCACTTTACATATGTCGATGTTATAAGTGGCATTTTAAAAACATGTTTTCTTTTTGTCACTGCTCTGCCCAATACCCTCCCTGCAGTTTTCTCACGGCTCCATTCTGTCCGTCACAGGTGAGTCTTCTTAAGACACCGTCCCAACATATCGCTGTTCCCCTCAGGACAGAAAGTGGCTCCATAATGCCTGGTGAATCAAGTCCGAATGGCTCAAACTGTCTTTCTTATTGCACCTCTTATCTGTTAATGGCTCTTCTTACCTGCCATCAGCCCTCGCACCTGACTTCAGTTAGGCTTATCCTCTCACTTATTCCCCGCTTCATGCCTTTATTCCTTCGGTTCTTTCCATCTCCTGGAAACCAAGTCTCTCTTCTCAGCCCAGTCGTATCTTTCCCATAAGACTTAGCCCAAATCTCAACTTGTTCATGAAGCCTGATGAATCCAATCACAGGGAATATTCCTCCTTGATGACATGCTATGATCCTTTTATTATTTTTAAATGTTATTTATTTTTCTATCCTCCCTTGAGGAAATGTTTATTTGTTTTAGGGAGAGGGGAAGGGAGAAAGAGAGGGAGACAAACATCAGTCAGTTGCCTCTTGCCCAGACTGGAGACCAAACCTGCAACCTAGGCATGTGTCCTGACTGGAACCAAACCCACCTTCCGGTTTACGGGAAGATGTCCAACCAACTGAGCCACGCTGGCCCTATACTACGACCCTTTTAATCTACACTAAACCTTTGCACATAATACAGCATACATTTTTGTTCATTAATAGTTGTGTATATATCTTTGTCTTTGTTCTATTTTCTGGTACTCCCAAACTGAGTTGGCTTACCCGCCATTGAGAACATTGTGGCTGAGAGGATCTCAAGTGGGAAGACAAGGGGCTAGGACTGCCACTAGCCCACACAGTGCCTCTGTGTGAATTAGAGACAAGCACCCAGCCCGGCGCATGAGTGCACATGTTGCCAGGCAGATCGAGGGCTAGATTTCAGCCTCCACTCAGCCCTCCAGCCAGTGCCTTGTGCAGTGAGCCACTAACTGTACAGAGCGGTGCTAGTGGCAGGGCTGAGCAAAATGCTGTCATCCCTTCTCTGTACTTCACTGTCCCCAGGGCCTAAAGGCCAACATGACACGTCTTTACCAACTGATGACGGAACCACAGTTTTCCCGCTGCTCCAAACCTGCCAAGTATAAGAAGCTGCTGTTTGCACTCTGCTTCTTTCACTCTGTGCTACTTGAACGCAAAAAGTTCTTGCAGCTTGGCTGGAACATTGTGTATGGCTTCAATGACTCTGACTTTGAGGTTTGTTCTAACCAGGGGCCCCTCATGCCAGCCCCCTTTCCTTATACTTCTGGCCCCATGGCTCCCCTGCGGGAATATCAACTGACAGAAAGCCTCTGTTAAAGCCCCATTGGAAAATTAAAAAAAAAAAAAATAGAAAGAAAAAAAGAAAAAAGGCAGCCCTGTTGGAAGAGTTCCTGCACTAACTGTGTGTGGTGCTGGGGGTTTGGGCTGGGACCACGCACAGGTGTCAGAGAATTTGCTGAGCCTGTATCTGGATGAGTATGAGGAGACACCCTGGGATGCGCTCAAGTACCTCATTGCCGGCATCAACTACGGTGGGCACGTCACGGATGACTGGGACCGGCGCCTGCTCACCACCTACATCAATGACTATTTCTGTGACCAGACTCTAGCAACGCCCTCCTACCGGTGAGGGGGAGGTGGCACTGATGGGGGGCCAGAGGACACAAAGAGACCAGGTGGCAGGACTAGGGGTAGGGGAATGATCAAGGAGAGAACATGAGATTGGGAGAAGGCAGAACATGAGGGATTGGGAGGAAGGGCAAGAGCAGAGAGTTGGACAAATGGGATATAGGCAGAGCTGGGGTCTTGGCTTGACATTGAAGCCCCAGAGTCCCCACAACATAGTGGTAATTATGCTGTATCTCTCTAGGTTGTCAGCACTGGAGACTTATTTCATACCCAAGGATGGGGGCCTGGCTTCTTACAAGGAGTACATCAGCATGTTGCCTGGGATGGACCCCCCTGAGGCCTTTGGCCAGCACCCCAATGCAGATGTGGCCTCCCAGATCACTGAGGCACGAACTCTGTTTGAGACTCTGCTTTCCCTGCAACCCCAGATTACACCCTCCAGGGCTGGAGGCCAGAGCCGGGAAGAGAAGGTAAGGACAGGCACCCAGGGGAGGGAAAGCCAGGAGAGATGGCTGCACTCAGAGCTCCTGCCTCATCAGGTCCTCGAGCTGGCCGCTGATGTCAAACAGAAGATCCCTGAAATGATCGACTATGAAGGGACCCGAAAACTGCTGGCTCTGGACCCCTCCCCTCTCAATGTGGTCCTTCTACAGGAGATCCAGAGATACAACAAACTTATGGAGACCATCCTGTAAGATGGAAGGGGGCTCCGCAGAATGTGGGGAGGCAGCAAGAGGAAAGTTCCTCTACCTCCTACCTAGGATGACTCTTCCAGGCCCATCCCATCTCTAACCCTCCACCTGTCCTGCTCAGGTTCTCACTGACAGACCTGGAAAAAGGCATCCAGGGCCTCATCGTCATGTCTACAAGCCTGGAAGAGATTTTCAATTGCATCTTTGATGCCCATGTCCCTCCACTCTGGGGAAAGGTAATATTACACCACTGTTGACCCTACTCCAGCAGTGAGCTCTTATCCCTATGCCCCCAATCTCCTGGTTCTTGGTAGGTATATAGCAAAATGCAGCAAGTCTGGGCCTTGGAGACAGGCAGGTCCAAGGTTGAGATCTGGCTTTGTCATTCACTGACTAACTTTGCACAAGATATTAACTTATTAGAAGCTTACTCAGGGCAAGAGGTTATTAACCTCTCCAAGGATGTTTCAAGGATTCTCAGTACTGTGCGTAACACTTCATAGGTGTTTCATTAATGGTGACTGGTTACTATTACCATTGCTAATAAATAGCTGTCATTTTACACTTCTTTCCTGGCAGCTGGCTTTTGGAGTGCTTTATCCAATTGAAATTGGGGAGCAGGGGCTGACACCACATTTTCTTCTTATATCTGCTCCCAATGCTCAAAGTAAGAACTTGAATGCATGAATGCATGAATGAATGAATGAATGAACACGTACTGCCTCCTCCTCCAGGCGTATCCCTCACAAAAGCCACTGGCTGCATGGACCCGGGACTTGGCCCTGCGTGTAGAGCAGTTTGAGCTGTGGGCTAGTCGTGCCCGGCCTCCTGTGATCTTCTGGTTGTCTGGCTTCACCTTTCCCACTGGCTTCCTCACTGCTGTGCTGCAGTCTTCAGCTCGCCAAAACAATGTGAGCCACGTGGCAAGCACTTTAGGGACTGGATGCTGGGGACATGTATTTGCTCTCCTTTTTGGGGGATCCTCCCTTATTCTCACCTTTAATCTCCAGATATCAGTGGATACTCTCTCTTGGGAGTTTATCGTTTCCACTGTGGATGACAGCAACTTAGTGTATCCCCCCAAGGTGGGTGCCAGATGTGCTTGGGGCTCTGAGCAAAGACAGGTCTGGTGGAGGAAGGGTGCTGGGAGCAAAGATGGGGAACAACTGGTTGAGTAGGAAGGAGAGAGGTGGCAGGTCAGGGGTGCTGGCAACCAACAATATCGATTTCCCCCCAACCCACCCCTATGTCTCCCCAGGACGGTGTCTGGGTTCGAGGCCTGTATCTAGAGGGTGCTGGCTGGGACCGGAAGAACTCCTGCTTGGTGGAAGCAGAGCCCATGCAGCTTGTCTGCCTCATGCCCACAATCCACTTCCGGCCTACAGAGAGCAGAAAGAAGAGTGCTAAGGGTGAGGACACGCCTTCAGACCTGCCTGCCCCATCCCTAGTTTCGATTCTAACCCACCCTCTGCTATTCCTCCCTGCAATGTGCTCCTGCCCTGTTTCCCCAGAGGCTCCAGGGGCTAATTCCTTCTCTTCTCTCTTCCCTCAGGTATGTACTCCTGTCCTTGCTATTACTACCCCAACCGGGCAGGGAGCTCAGACAGAGCCTCCTTTGTCATTGGCATCGACCTCCGTTGTGGGACCATGACATCTGATCATTGGATCAAGAGGGGCACTGCTCTACTCATGAGCCTGGACAACTGAAAAGGCCTCCTCTTCTTCCCCGCTTGAGAGAGGGTTGGGAACTCTAGGAGCCAAAGCTGACAATGAATCTCACACGTCACTCAAGTCTTGACCTTGGTTGAATTTGTTGTGTGATGGGGCCCTGGAGATACATAGTATGCTAGCCATAAAGGTGGAAGAATTGGAGTTCAATGCAATAAAACACCTGCGACTAACAAGCCCTAACTCTCAATGGGATGGTAGAGTTTGGGGAGGAAGCTCGGCCTTACAGAGGAGGGGGAAAAGAAGCTGCTACTGGATGGGGAAAAGAAGTAAGGGAAGTGGAAGGCCTTGAGACGCAGCCTTGACCTCGAACGAGTGGGCAGCACGGTAGGGCCGAAAGGGGGTGTAGCTAAGTCAGTGCTGGGCTAGAAAGGGGGCGGGACTTACTTTGGAAAAGCGCGTGATCCAAACGGAATAGGGGTATGTCGGACAGGGATCGGGGTTGGACCCTGCACGTTGCACCCCGAACTCCGCAATCCGCAATCGGTTATCTTTTTCAGCACTTGCGCTGAGGCCAGAGGGACCTGCTAAAGGCGGGGCGGAGCCGGAGTGGGGGGGACTTCAGCGTGCGAGGAGGGGCGGGACCATGAGAAGGGGGCGGGGTTGGGGGGCGGTGTTTGTGTTGGAAAATCCAACTGCGCCACGGGGCGGAGCGGCCCCCCCAGCCCCGGCCTGGGAGGGGGGGCCGCTCGACCCCCTGGGAGACCTTGGGGAGTCTGAACACCTGGGACACCCTAGAATCAGGTAACGGGGAGCTGCGAGGGCGCCTGGAAAGAGGGCAACCATCTCCTTTCAGGGGGGCGGGACGCCTGAGTCGTAGGCGAAGTAGAGCTCGGGATGGACGGTTGGGTCTCGGCAAAGGCATTGGGAAGAAGACTGGGGCACAGGACATCCGAGTGCCCTAGAAGAGAGCAGGGCGAGGGTGGGGGAAGGGCTGAGAGGCAGATGACTTGGGTTCTGGATGTTAAGCGGGGCCGGAAAGGACTCCCAGTCCTCTTTGGCTAGGATTCCCTTTCCTGACAATAGAGCGGGGCGGGGCGGTCCCTAACTACGGGGCAGAACTAAAGGTCAGAGTTTGCAAATAGGTCTGTGCGTAGGCCCCTGGAGGTCGGACGTGGTCACGCAGGGATGTGTCTCCGATCCTGGGGCCACTTCGAGTTTCTCCCCAGTACTTCCTACGAGGGTTATAGCGCCAGCCCTGATCCTTACACCAGGAGCCCCGATAGCCTCCGTGCGGTGGCCTCCGGCCCATCCACCTCGCCGCACCTCACCTTCCTTCACTCGACTTCATCTCGCTCGTCTCGTCATCCCTGGTCCTGCCCCATTCTGCCCTCTCCCAGCTCGGGCCCTTTGTGCTTGAGCTTCCCGACGTAGCCACGAGATGGCGAGGGCGAGACGCACAGCCCGAGCTGAGGGGAGTGAGGTGGGAGATAGGGCCGTGAAAGCAGCCGAAGCCGCCCTCCGCAGCGGAGGGAAAGGTGGGCTGAGGTGCTCTTTTGGTTTCCTGTCACCTCGGCCCCTCACAGGAAATTGTGGGCGAGAGGGCAAAAGGCATGGGGTGAGGAGGGGGCTGGGGACTCAGTTTCTGCCTCCCGCGGCCGGGGTAAATAGTGGGGAGGGGACACGAGGTTTAGTTACTAAGCAACGCAGATTCGCTTCCAGTCTACTGTGGCTTGTGGCTGTGACTTGAGGGTGGGAGTTGGCGACTGTGGGAGTCTAGGAGACTGGGGAAGGTCTAGGGCAGGATGCCTGGCTCTCGGGACAGGGAGAGCCTGGGAGGAAGGACGGGAGGCAGCGAGCTGGCACCGGAACGGATTCGGCGGTAGTTAGGAGGGGGGCGGGACCCTGGCGCGGCGCCGAGCTCCGCTCCCCCTCCCCGCGGGGTTGCTTGCCCTGTTGCCAGAGTAACAGGAGAGCTAGACGACCGTGCCGAATTCCCGAACTCTCGCATCTGCCCAATCCGCTCCAGCGGACGTCCCTGACATCAGGGCCCTGGCAGCCAATGTGGAGGAGGCAATATAGAGCGACAGGAAGAGGGAGAGGGGAGGGGCAGAGGTTGAGAAAAGGAAGGGGTAGCTGCCCGGGACCCGCACGTGCACTCCCACACGCTCGCGCCCACTGCCCCTCCCTCCGCCGCACGCGTCGGAATTCGCTTCCCCCCCCCCCGGGCCTGCGCCGCGGGTCGGCGCTTATCAACGCCCCCCCCCGAACCCCGCCCCTTGAGTCTGTTAGATACTGCTGGGCTGGGCCCCTCAGCCTCTCCCAACCCAGACGTCTGGGTCCGCCCTCCCTTTTTCCCGAGGTCTCGAACCCTTAATTCCTAGCTTTAGGCGGGATGGGCTGGCTACCTGTTTCCCACCAACCTCCCAGCTGGCGCACCACTATCTCAGGTGGTGGGCAAGGTAGAGTTGGGGTTTCCGGCCCCATAGGCTCCGCTGCTGCCTTCCCGGGCTCTGGCTTAGGTTGCCTCCCAAGAGGAACCGAACGGGTTCTAGCGACCCTTCCCGACATTTCGTTCCAGCCCAGCTGTTGTTTTTGGTGGCAGGGGTCGGGCCCTGCGGGGAAGCCCCGGACAGCCCAGGTGACTTCCCGGGCCATCTCGCCTCTTCGCTTGAATTCTTCATTGATATGCACCAAACCCCCTCATATCCCGAGTGCTTCCTCCCCATTCGCCCAGGGGCTCTTTGCACCTCCCTCGGCTCCTTTCGAGCTGTTTGTGTCCGTCTCCACTCGTTCTTCCCGGCTTCTCCCGGTTATATAACTCTTCCTCTTGCCGTGTCCTGGTTTCAACTCCACAGACTCCGCCCTGGAACAGCGCGGGGAGGGGCAGGAGAGTTGGGGACCCAGACACTTTCCGGCTGGCGGCCGGCAGGGGCACGGGGGATCTCACAGATGGGAGGCAGAGTCCCGCGGGACTCGGCGCCCCTGCCCCATACTCCCACCTCCCACCCGAGATCTCGCCCAAAGGAGAGAAAGCACAGTATCTCCGGGAGGCGTGTCGGGACTCCGTCAGAAATGTGGGTTGGGAGGTCAGGGCTGGAGGCGGAGAGGTGAAGCCGAGAGGCCTGAGTCCCAGGGACTGGAGCCGTACTGGGCGAGATAAAGGAAGGAGCAGGTCTTGCTCCCACCTTCCCTGCCTTTTGGGGTTCCCAGAATTCCTAAGGCTATTTCCCAGGAAGCTTAGCCAGCGAGCCCTCTCCGCCCCTAGGTGTCAAAGGTCGGTGTTAAAGGTGGCCTGGGATGATGTCACCAGTGCACGTGCCCCGGGATGGTTGCCAGGCAATGAGGCCTCTTTCCCCTCTCCATTCCGGCCCCCTACCTCTGCCCCTAGTTCAGATCCAGGCCCTTGCCATCTTTTCCCCCTCTCCCTTCCCTTGGCCTTAGCATCCAGCAGGTGGGAAACCCTGGCCTGGAGTTTTGTGAGGGGGAGGGGCACGGGTGTGGTGTGGTGGAAAGACTATACAACCTTTTGCTGGGCTAAGAGAACTCTGGGTCACTTTTCCCTAGATTGGCACAGAAGAGCTTTCTTTCCAAGTCCCCTTCTTCCTTGAAAGAGCCTCCCCTATGTCTTTACTTTTCCATCTCCTTCATTGCCTAGTGTTCTATGGCCCAGTGTTCATTTGTGTTGAAGTGAGAGTAGTGGCAGACTGCTACCCCCAGGAGAGCAGTGTGTCCTAAGGAGGAGTCACCGGACACCAGCTCACTTGTGACCTTAATCAATGGCACCCCCACCTCCACCTTCAACGGTGAAGAGGAGGGTCAAGAAATAGTGATTAGACTGGTAAATCGGTGTGTTTATCCAGCGTAGGTAGGTGGGTCTCTCTCCTAAGGGAGGAGGACTCTGTTGATAGCAATGGCTGCCCTTGCCTATTAAGTCCTGGGGTTGGTTATGGTATCAGAAAAAAATTGCTTTCTCTTTTTATATACGTTGGAGCTTGGGCTGTCAGATCAGACTTCATTGCATTCCCAGCTCTGCCACTTAGTGGCTATAGGAATTTGGAAAGGTCATAACCTCTTTGAACCTCATATTCTTAATCTGGAAAATTTAAATATCAATAGAGTACCTACCTTCTAGGAAGTTGGGAGGATAATATGAGATAATTTATGCACAGCACTTAGCACAGTGCCTGGCACAGAATGAACACTGAATGAATGCTTCCTATTGCTAAACGGTGTTAGTTGTTATTTTTATTATTGAAGTTGGTAGGCCTGCTTTAAACTGGCCAGTACCTTAGGAGTTCTTTAGGGAAAAGTGGAGAGTTTGTTAATTTGGGGGGGGGGAGGGAAGGGGGTATGGGGATTAGCTTCCACTGCTTTGTGCACTTTATTTGATGAAGGCTTTAGTCAGATTTGTATTGCTTTCTTTAGGATTATTTTTCCTCCTCTTGGAGAAGAAACAGCCAAGACTACTCCTCTGGCTGTGAAAATAAAATAATTGTATTGTGGTTCTTGACTTTTAAGCAAGACCCCAGTCCCCTCCCCGTGTTGTTTTCTGGAGCCTTTCAATTTGCAAAGGGACTCCACAGTTTCCTTTTCGGGGACGGGGCTAGGCTGAGGGGTGTGTAAAAGGTTGGGGTGGGTGGGTGGAGATAGACTAGTGCTGGGGGCTGGGGGGGGCGGGTAGTTAAAGGAAGAGACCGGAAGGGAGGAGGGAGCCTGCTGGTGGGGAGGGAGGGAAGGGAGGAGGTGGAGGAGGAGGAGGAGGAGGAGGAGGAGGAGGAGGGAGGGGGTTGGGGAGAGCCTGCTACAGTTCTTTGTTTGACTCCGGGACTCGGGGACGGGGAGGAGGAGGGAGGGAGGCAGAGGCTGCAAGCGCCGGGGCAGGCCCAGGAGGCAGAGGAGGGACCGTCTCCCCCGCCCCCCCCAGCCCCCACTCCCCCCCTGCTGCTCCCCCCTCCCTACCCGGACTCCGGGGGCACCGCCGGGGGACAGACACCCAGCAGGTAACCCAGGCCTGGCTCGCCCTCTCCTCTCGGATTTTCCTCCACTCCCTCCCGGGCGACCCCTTTCCCCGGTTCCGTCTCCTCGTTTTCTCCTGGCCTTGCCTCTTTTCCCTGGCCCTCCTTCTTCCATCTACCCCACTTGGGCTTGTCGCCCGCTGGCCGCGCCGCGCTCTCGTGCAGCCCGACTCCCTTCCTTTAAGCCCGACAGACAGCCTGTGTGCCCCAGGTCTGCCCGTGGCACCATTTGGGGTTCTGTCTCGCTGCTTCTCTGGGCTTTGCTTTCCTTCCGACCTGTCCCCTGGGGCTCTGAAGGAGGGAGTCCCAGTCCTTTCCTTGCTCCCCCAGTTCCCCGCCCCCCAACTCTGGCCCCCTTTCTCCTTCTAGCAGTCTCTAGGGGTGGGGAGAGAACCGGAATTTGGGGGGCCCTCTGGAGGGGCAAGGGGCTCTCTGTCGCTTGGGAAAGGGGCTGTGAGTGTTTGTGCCGGTTGGGGGTGTGGGGGTGGTTAGCAACCTGGCTGCCTCTGTTGTCCCTTTAAATGGCCCTCACATTTCTGGGGACTCGTGGTGGGGGGTGGCGAACCGCCTGCCTGGGGGGCAGGGCCCTGGGTTAGTCCACACAATCAGGGGTGGTAATGATTTAAAGGGACAGTCATGGTGTGGCCACTGCCACCCTGCGCCAGCAGAAGGGGAGCCGGCAGGCCATGTCTAGAGAGGCTTGGCTGAAGAGCAGGGCGTTTCAGACTGTGTGTTGTGGGGCCTGCCAGGTCTGGGACTGCTGCGGCTGGGAAAGTGCAAGGAGGGTGACAGCTTGCTCTGGGGAGCACTCAGCCTGGGCTTTCTCCAAGGCCCACCTTTGGGTTCAGGGACTCCTTGTCCAAGAATCACTGAGTCCAAACTACAGAGCCTGTTGGCGACCAGGTTGGGGCCACTCGCAGGTCTGCAGGTCAGCAGCCTGGCCAGGGCACTTTGGAGCTGGTCCTTCAGCTTCCCCTTTTGTTGTTTGGCTCTGTGCACAAGAAAGCCCCAGCCCCTCCCCCAGCTCGCTCTCCCAGTCCACATGCCCCCCCCCCCAAACACACCCACCCCAGCTGTTGGACAGATGAATTACAGCCTCCGGCTTCAGGCCAGGACTGGTGAGGGATTAAAGCTCTGGGGCTGGCCCTTTAAATGGCTGTTGGCCCCTCCCCCACTCTGGTGTCCAGACACCCCATACACACACACCACTGACCCCCTCAGCTGCCCCTCACTCCTCCTCTTGGCTTGTCCCAAGGCCTAGCACCTCTCTCTCCTCAGGCAAGAGCCTGCTCAGCGTCCCCTTTCCCCCAACATAACCACATACACAAATGGCACAGACTCCCCTCCCCCCCCCACCTCCATCCCTCCCTCTCCCTCTCTCTGGTCCCACGTTGTGAATGTCTCTGTCCTGGCAGGTTCCCTTTTCCAGCAGAAGCACCTTGCCAGTCTGGCCTCCCTAGCCTTCAGCTGACCACTACCCTGGCTCAGTGAGGGGCCTTGCCCCGTCAGAAATAGCACCTCCCTGGGGGCAGTGTCATCAGCAGCCCAGGCAGCTTGCCGCACGTTGCATCATGGAGGCTGGGGGCTGGAGGCCGGAGTCTCTGGGGCAGGGGAAGGATGGGGGCTGGAAGGCCAGGGAATGGAGAGACTGGACTGAGAACCCAAGTGTCTGGGGGAGCCCAAGAACCTTTGTCCTTAAGGGCAGAGAGCTGTGGCTAGAGGAGAAAACAGATCCCTGAGGAGTGAGGTTGAGATGAAGGCAGACTTACGTCTGACCCCCGGATTGACACCTGATTCTTGGCCTTGGACTTAGGCTAAAAGCCTAGCTTGTCTCTGAGAGTTAGGATAGGAGGGAGTCGGCCTCTGTCACCTTCTTGGGCCACACAGAGGAAGGAGGTGATGGGGAAACAGGATATGGAAAGGAGGCTTGCAGCAGAGGCCGCTTCCAGGCCCACAACCAGAGGCACAGTCCTGGCTGAGGAGGAAGGTTTCTCCCTGCTGGGCCTGTTCATCTAGTCTGGCCACCTGTGCTGCTCCGGGGACCTGCCTGCACCCGCCAGGGGGAAGGGGAGGGGGCAGAGTCCAGAGGGTGGGGTTGACTAGTGTCTTGATAAGGTTAGGGAGGAGGCACAGCTGCAGGAAGAGGATCTTCTTGCCTGGGGCCAGGACTGAAGCTGACTTAGGGTTCACGTGACAGAGGTAGCAGGGCCTACTCTGAGGCTAGGGACTTAGCAGGAGGGTCCAGTCAGAAGAGGCATCATGGGTTGGGTGACCACTGTGGACTTATGCAGATGCCATAGCATGCTCCCCTTACCCCAGGTCCAGACTACTTCCTGAAGGGGAAGGTTGGAGGACCACTTTGGGTATGGCTTTTTCTGGTTGCCACGGAAACAGATTGTCCCATCCCATCTGACCACCAGAGCCAGATTTCTCCTCAACAAGGGGAAAGATAGCACAGTGAAATTCTCCAGACTGGGATAACCCACCTCTAACTGGTTTTTCTCTTTTAGGTTCCCCCAGGCACCATGCCAGCCCCGTAGTACCACCCACCTCACCCACTGTGGTCTGCTGCACCCCACTGTTGGGGCACTGATTCCAATGAGACAGGACACACAGAACTCCATCCGGTGAGTACTGCCCTGGAGCACTACACCCCACCCTACCCCAGTAGTCCAATTCTGCACCACAGGCTAAAGAAGAGTGGTATGGTCTAGTTTATGCCCAGTCCTCAGAATAATCCAGTCCAACTTTGAGCATCCCCCACCATGGTGCTTGTGTGATCCAGGCTTCCTAGTTTATGGAGCTCCCCTCCATTGCCTATGAATGGTTCAGCCCTGTACTTCACCAGCCTCTCCACTACCACCAGAAAAATCTCCCCTCAGTGCTACAGCTCACTTACATATTGAATTGCATTAAACTAGGGTTTGCAGGCTTGAAAGTAAAGGTGAGATGCACTGGAAGGACTTTTCTTGGGAGAAGGGAGGGCAGGGCTTTGTCTTATGAGAGTTGTGGATTTGGATACTGGAGAGCATTGCTACAACAACCTGCTGTTGCCATGGCATACTTGGCATCTCACCTTTCCTTCCAGATTCCCTTCTGTGCCATTCTCCCCACTGCACTACAGCATTTGCCCCCAACACCCTAAGGTTTACTCCTCTGCTGCTTACCTTTCTCCTTCTGCCAGTTCTCAGCGCACAGCCCTGCTCCATCCCCCATTCCTCTCTAGGAGAAAAGATGGTACCTGAGGCAGGGAATTAAGCTCTCTGACTGTGCTTTGCTCTGCTCCATTACTCACTGAGTTTTTGAGTGGGACTGTTTTTTTCCCCCTTATGTATCTATTTGGCAAGATGATTTGCACATTGGGTGCCTCAGTGGAATTGTGTTGAATGAATGTGTTAACTGAATGAGTGTCATTGCCAAGAAACCAATGGCTTCTGAGATCTGTTGCACAGTCTCCTCCCTGCACCTTCTCTTGAGGACTTGAGGCATTTGGGATGGTAACCTGGGGCAGAGCTGAGGGGCAGGCTGACCTAAGAAGTGGACTGTGAGGATAAAACCAACAGAGGGAGAACAGGACAATAGGACAGAGGCATTATAGAAGGGTGGTAAGAATGAGGCTCTGGAAAGAAGCCCAGCTCTTTACATTCTCTTGCAGAATGACCTTGACCAAATTACCTTACCTCCCTCAGCCTCAATTTCCTCATCTGTAAAATGAGGTAATAAAAGTAATTCCTACATCAGATTTTGGGGAGGAGATTTAAAAATGGATCTAAAGTGATTTAACACAGTGCCTGGCATGTAATAAGTATAATAGTAAGTAAATGCTAGCAAATTGTCATTGTAATGGGAGCCCCAGGGAACTGGAGGATAAACAAGGATGTTGAGGAGTAGGACAGAACTTGAATGAAGGCAGACAGACACCCAAATACTTGTCAAACATAAGGATTACTGATCCAGCAAGACAGCAGGATTTAGGGGAGTGAGAGGAGGAACCGGCAGGATCAGTCTGCTCCAGTGTTTCCTTGACTGTGCAGGAACATTAAGGCAAACACAGAAGGGTATGTGCAGAGACACACGTGATCACGAAAGTGATGCAGAGGCAGACCCAGACAAAAGACCGAGACAGGAGCCAGGCAGACACACAGACAGAGACAGCCGCGCAGAGTCTTGTAGACAGGCATAATGAGGGAACGCGTCAGACACAGGCACTGAAGAAGACAAGATGAGCAGATAGGCAGGTGCACAGGGAGACACACACACCGGGACCCATACACAGCCGACCTTGTCAGACAGACTGCTAAACACAGCGGTCCAGTCAGAGGCAGACACAAGGCTCGCAGTGACACACAGCGGGCCGGGCCGGCACTGTCACTCCTCGGTGGGGGGCGGGGAGGGGCCAGCAGAGGGGGAAGGCTGGGGAAGGGAATCCCGAGCGGGCGGCCTGCCCGGGTGGCTGAGTCACAGTGGAGCCCCAGCCGGCGGCCCTCTCCTCCGCCTCCCCCTCCCCCAGGTAAGAAGCGAGCTGTAACCCCTCGCTTCCACCGGGTCGAATGAGGGCTGGCAGGGAGCGGGTGCGGCGGAGTTCCCGGACGGGCCCCACCTCCGCGCACGTGCAGCATGTCTGCTGACTGCTAGCTCGGTAAAACCCTATTTGCGGGGTCTTGTCTTTGGTCAGCCGGTGAGTCTGTCGAGCCTGTCTGGCCCCTTACTCCGCGTCCCGCGCGGCGGGAGCTGTTCGTGGGGGGCTTTTTGGGCTTCAAGCCGGGAGAGAGTTAAGTGGGTGTGATTGATGGAGTGGGTCTCTCTCGGGGCTCTAGGGGGAGGGGTTCAGTTAAAGTCCCGGAGTCTGGAGCCCGGATGGAGGGGGCGGAGCCGGGTTTAGCCGGGAGTGCCCGGATGGAGAGGGCGTGGCTTCGGCTGAAGAGGCGTTAACCCTTTCTGAGCTGCTGACTCCCGGGACTGTGGGTTGGGAGGGAGAGGCTGGATTGTCTGATCCACAAGTATACGGCCCTGCAGGCTGACTTTGGCCGTGTGTTTCTACCTCTCTTCTGGCGTTGAGGAGTCTGGGTGTCTGTCTTTGTGCCTGTCCGTGGTTGTCTCCTCCCCTTGGTTAGTTACGGACACTGGGAATCGGGGAGGGCTGTTCCTGCCCCAAAGCGAGAGTGGAGGTGAGAGTGGACGGCGAGCCGGCTGCCGGCGCCTGGGGAACAGGTGTGAGCGTGGCGTCGGGGCCGTCGGGCGCAGGGAGGGGCCGTCGTGGGGGAAGACGAGAGGGGAAATTCCACGGGACCCGTGGTGAGCGGTGTGTGGGCTGAGTTGTGTCTGCCAATGACTGTGTGTCTGTTTTCAGGGAGGCGGAGGCTGAGTCAGTGGGAATAGGGGAAGGTTTTCAGGGTGACTCACGGCCCCCCACCTCAAGCCTGAATCAGACCCCGAGGGAGGGCTTTGTATGGGAGGCGGATGGGGAGTCAGGCGCCTGGGTCAGCGCCTGGGTCCCGGGAGGGGACAAGGATCCACGGTGGTTGGCGAGAGTGAGTGTGTATTTAGTATGCAGGAAGTTTTTGTCCTCTAGTGAGGGCTGCTGTATTTTGAGTTCCGGCGGGGGTGGGGTGGATAAAGGTGGGAAGGGGCTGGAGGGAGGGGACTCGCTCGTTTAGGGAAAGCTGAGTCAGTTCCCCGTGGGAAAGGGGAAGTGGTAGAGGGGAAGTGTCATCATCGCAGAAGGGGAAGCTGCATTTCCTGGTAACTGGCAGCGCCCTCAGCATCACTTCCCAAGCGGGGATCTGTGCTTCTGATATCTGGACCCCCGGTTCCCCGTTTTCCCGTGTCTGGGCCATAGGTTCCAGGACTTGGGGGTGGGGGAAACAGCTGGCCAGGCTATGCTTGACCGTAGTGAAGCGCAGTACTTGTCCCAGAGCTTGGTAACTGACCGAAAAGGCTGCATGGTGAGGAGAGTGAGTTCTGGCAGCAATTCCACGTGAACTGCTGAGGGTCCGCAGAGCCAAAGTGCCTGTCAGGGCTCGGCGGGGAGTGGCACGCCGGGACCTGTAGGGTCCAGGCTCTTGCATGCAAACAGCGACCTTGCCCTGTGGAGGGAGGACTGTATTCACCAGAAACCCGATTGCCCTTGTGGGCTGGGTGGAAATTTCCCCACAGCGCAGACTTTTCTCAGTGAAGGCGAAGTTTCCAGCCGCCCCCAGCCCCTGGTCGCTCGTTCTCCCCCGGCTTCCTTCCCGGCCTGAGCTCCAGCTGGAGCGCTGGCCCCGCCCCCGCCGCTTTGTACTCGACACTCGCCTCTCGCAGTTCTTTGTACTCTAGACTCAATGGACCGATCCCGGGAACGGAGCCGGCTCCCTACTTGAGGGAACGCCGGGTAGGAGAGGAGGAGTCACGGGGACCGAGATCCTGGGGTCTGAGAGGCGAGAAAGAAGAACTGGGGCTAAAGGGAAGGTGCCCAGAAAAGGGGAGCGCTGCGCCCTTTGTGGGTCGAGCCAGCACCGACGGGAAGGGATGGCGGGGGGGGGGGGGGGGGGGGCGCTTGAAGGAGGAAGTGAAACTGGTTCTGGTTCTTTAAGGGAGTGGGTGGTGAGAGTGGGACAAGGGTGATGTCACCGCCTGTCGGGCCCCGCCCTCCCCCCTCCCAAAGGACCCCCCCCCCGCGCCGTACTCTTACACACGCCGCTTCCGCTGCGCAAGTAGCCACGTCACGGGCAACCCCCGAAATCCCCCCTCCCTTGGGGGGCGGGGGCCACGTGGGCCGTGGGGAACCGCGTGGCCCCGGCGGGGAAGGGCATAGAGGATACCGGAGCCACGCGAGAGGGGCCACTGGGGATCGTGGTGCGCGACTTCTCCGAAGTTGGGGTTTGTTTTTGGGGGGCCGTTGGTATTGAAGACTTAGGAGAAGTAGAGGATCTGAAGGTACTGGGTATGAGGCTGGGAGCTTGACTCTGGTTTGGGATGGGGGGCAGGTGTGGGGAATAGAGCGCTCAGATCGCAGCGTGGGTTTGGTTGCCGTAGAAGTCGCCGTGACTGACCAAGCAGTTACAAGGGGCACTCGATGTGGGGAGGTCAGGCCCTGGGCGAGGTGAAGTGAGGATGGCGAGGGACACCTTCGTCTGCGTTGTGCATCTGTCTACGGTCCATTGGTCTTACGGCGGTGGGGCAGGGGATGGGCCTCCTTGGCGGACTAGCGGGGAGCACCGGCGGCTCTGTGGGTGCCTGGGACTTGCGGGGAGAGCTATTCCCCAGGACAGCACAGGCGTGCGACTCGCCGCATTTACCCACGCGGTTACAGGTCCCGCCTGTCCCGCCAGCCCTGGGTGTCTGGTCCGAGATGGAGACCCTAGGTAGGAGCCGCCAGGTCACGTTGGGGTCACCCGGGGCCGAGCCTGTCTGTCCGGCTCCGCTGCCGTCCTCCCCCCCGCCCGCCGTGCCTGGGCTAACCTTGTTCTTATTGGTTCTTGGCAGGCTGTTACTGAGGCGGAGACGCGGGTGATGATTGGCTTACTGGGCAGAGAGGAAGTCCTGTGATTGGCTGGATTCCTGGAGCTCGCCGACGCTGTGAGAGGACGCTCCCACGGAGGCCGGAGGCCGGGTAAGCCCCTGCGGCTTTGCCTACTGGCTCCCGACTGACTGTCGCGCTCCTAGCTACTTCTCCGGGTTCCTAAGCACTCTCCTGGGCCTCTAGGGGCTCCCTAGGCCCGGGGGGCCTATTCTGAGGGAAAGCCAGGGTCTGACTCCCTGAGCCGATGATGCCGCAGCCAGGCCAGCCCAGCCCCTGACCCCCGACTGTATTCTGGCCAGCTCACTTTACTCCTTTGCTTCCTCCTCTCTGTAGAGTTAGCTGTGAAAGGCCCTGGACGACCATCTGGGGGCAGTGGGCTCTTCTGTCAGAGCGGCTGGAGTTGGGACCATTGCCCCTGAGAGCTGGGGTAGGGGGCCGTGCCCGATCTCCAGGGCTCCTGGGGCCACTGCTGACCTGGTAAGGGAAAGACTAGGGCTGGGTTGGCTGTGTGTATATGGGCAGCTCAGGCTATGCCCCCAGTAAGACCATAATTTCTCCCCTGACTCAGGCTGGATGCATCGGGCAGTGGACCCTCCAGGGGCCCGCGCTGCACGGGAAGCCTTTGCCCTTGGGGGCTTGAGCTGTGCTGGGGCCTGGAGCTCCTGCCCGCCCCATCCCCCTCCTCGTAGCGCATGGCTGCCTGGAGGCAGGTGAGATCTTAGGCCATTTCTCTCTCTCCAGGAATTTGTCTTCCCATTTCCTGTGCCTGTCAATTTGTCATTCTCTGGGTTTCTGCCACTCTGTGGGCCTCAATGTAGTCCTCAGCTGATTTCTTTTATTCCCCCAGTCTTCTCTTTCCTTAGATAGGGACAACACTGCTCCATCTTGATGTTCATTAACAGACCCCTTCTCTCTCCAGGTGCTCTGCCAGCATTGGGCAGCCCCCACTCTCTGCTCCCCTGTCCTCTTCACATGGCAGTAGCTCTGGGCACCCCAACAAACCATATTATGTTCCAGGGTGAGTGAGGATTCAGAGGTCCTGGGGATGGGAGGTAAGACTGGGACTTTGAAAGAGTTCCCCGAACCTGACAACCCCTCCTCCCAACCCCTTCTGCTCTGTAGGACACCCACCCCAAGACCCCTCCATGGAAAGCTGGAATCTCTGCATGGCTGTGTGCAGGCATTGCTCCGGGAGCCAGCCCAGCCAGGGCTGTGGGAGCAGCTTGGGCAGCTGTACGAGTCAGAGCATGACAGTGAGGAGGCCATACGCTGCTACCACAGCGCCCTTCGATATGGAGGAAGCTTGGCTGAGCTGGGGCCCCACATCAGTCGACTACAGCAGGTGAGATGAGGCAGGACATTAAGAAGCACAGATTGTGCCTTCTGGCTCAGTGCCCTCATCTCATGCTGGCCTCTGTCCTGTCCTCTGCACCCTTCCCCTACCTCCCCAGGCCCAGCTCTGGAACTTTCATGCTGGTTCCTGCCAGCACCGAGCCAAGGTCCTGCCCCCACTGGAGCAAGTATGGAACTTGCTGCACCTTGAGGTGAGGCCAGGACTGGGTGGACTAGGGAGGAGGGCCAGGCCAGGTATGCACCTGAGCCATTCTTTCTCCTCTCTTTTTGTCCTCAGCACAAGCGGAACTACGGGGCCAAGCGGGGGGGTCCCCCAGTGAAGCGCGCCGCTGAATCCCTAGTGGTGCAGCCCGTGCCTCCTGTGGTACTGTCAGGGCCCTCGGGGGAGGAGGGCCTCAGCCCTGGAGGCAAGCGCAGGAGAGGCTGCAACTCTGAGCAGGTATGGTTGTGTGCGCGCAAATAGGCAGTGAGCGGAAGGACTGAGCAAGGAATGGGATTCTCACACCCCTTTTTCTTCTAGACTGGCCTTCCCCCAGGGCTGCCACTGCCACCACCACCATTACCACCACCGCCACCACCGCCACCACCACCACCGCCGCCACCACCACCCCTACCCCTGCCTGGCCTAGCCACCAGCCCTCCATTTCAGCTGACCAAGCCAGGGCTGTGGAGTGCCATGCATGGAGATGCCTGGGGCTCCGAGCGCAAGGGTTCAGCACCCCCAGAGCGCCAGGTGAGCACCTGTCTGTTGACCTTTCTCTCTCAGTTGCAAGTCTCTGTGTTCTCCATTCCTAACTCAATATCCTTATTTTGTCTCCCCTAGGAGCAGCGGCACTCGCTGCCTCACCCATATCCATACCCAGCTCCAGCCTACACTGCGCAACCCCCTGGCCACCGGCTGGTCCCGGCTGCACCCCTAGGCCCAGGCCCCCGCCCCCCAGGAGCAGAGAGCCATGGCTGCCCTCCTGCCACCCGTCCCCCCGGAAGTGACCTTAGAGAGAGCAGAGTTCAGAGGTCGCGGATGGACTCCAGCGTTTCACCAGCAGCAACCACCGCCTGTGTGCCTTACGCCCCTTCCCGGCCCCCCTGCCTCCCTGGCACCACCAGCAGCAGCAGTAGCAGCAGCAGCAGCAGCAACACTGGTCTCCGGGGCATGGAGCCGAGCCCAGGCATTGTGAGTGATGATTGCAGGTGGAAGACGGAGTGGGGCGATCGGTGGGAGCTTGTCTGAGGTGGCCCTAGCAAACCTCTGACCAGCCCCATCTTCATTTGCAGCCCAGCGCTGACCATTACCAAACTCCCGCACTGGAGGTCGCCTCTCACCAAGGCCGCCTGGGGCCCTCGACACATAGCAGTCGGAAACCTTTCCTGGCAGCTCCCGCTGCCGCTCCCCATCTGTCCCTGCCACCTGGACCCCCCTCACCTCCCCCACCCCCCTGTCCTCGCCTTTTACGCCCCCCACATCCCCCTGCTTGGCTGAAGGGCCCAGCCTGCCGGTCAGCCCGTGAAGATGGAGAGATCTTAGAGGATCTCTTCTTTGGGGCTGAGGGACGCCCTCGCCCTCCTCCACCACCCCTCCCGCACCGTGAGGGCTTCTTGGGGCCTCTGGCCCCCCGTTTTTCTGTGGGCACTCAGGATTCGCACACCCCTCCTACCCCCTCAACCACCAGCAGCAGCAGCAGCAGCAGCAGCAGCAGCAGCAGCAGCAGCAATGGCAGCCACAGCAACAGCCCTACTGGGCCTGTCTCCTACCCCCCACCTCCTTATTTGGCCAGAACTATGGACCCCCTTTCCCGGCCCCCCAGTCCCACACTGAGCCCCCAGGAGCCACCTCTTGCACCCCTAACTCTTGCCCTGCCTCCAGCCCCTCCCTCCTCCTGCCACCAAAATACCTCAGGAAGCTTCAGGCGCTCGGAGAGCCCTCGGCCCAGGGTCTCCTTCCCAAAGACCCCCGAGGTGGGGCCAGGGCCATCCCCAGGCCCCCTGAATAAAGCCCCCCAGCCCGTGCCGCCGACAGTTGGGGAACTGCCTGCCCGAGGCACGCGACTCTTTGATTTTCCCCCTCCCCCACTGGACCAGTTTGAAGAGCCCGCTGAATTCAAGATCCTACCTGATGGGCTGGCCAACATCATGAAGATGCTGGATGAATCCATTCGCAAGGAGGAGGAGCAGCAACAACAGGAGACAGGCGTAGCCCCCCCGCCCCCCTTGAAGGAGCCCTTTGCATCTCTGCAGCCTCCATTCCCCACTGACACAGCCCCCACCACCACTGCTGCCGCCACGGCCGCCACTACCGCCGCCGCCACCACCACCACTGCCACCCAAGAACAGGAGAAGAAGCCACCGCCAGCCCTACCACCACCGCCTCCACTAGCCAAGTTCCCTCCACCCCCCCAGCCACAGCCGCCGCCGCCCGCACTACCCCCAGCAGCTAGCCCAGCCAGCCTGCTCAAATCCTTGGCCTCTGTGCTAGAGGGACAAAAGTACTGTTACAGGGGGTCTGGAGCAGCTGTTTCTACCCGTCCTGGGCCCTTGCCCACCACTCAGTATTCCCCCAGTCCCCCATCAGGTGCTACCGCCCCGCCCCCCACCTCAGTGGCCCCTAGCGCCCAGGGCTCCCCACAGCCCTCTGCTTCCTCGTCATCTCAGTTCTCTACCTCAGGCGGGCCCTGGGTCCGGGAGCACAGGGCAGGTGAAGAGCCAGCCCTGGGCACTGTGACCCCTGCCCCGCCGCCCCCACCCCTGCCTCTGCCCCCTGCTCGTTCTGAGTCTGAGGTGCTAGAAGAGATCAGTCGGGCTTGCGAGACCCTAGTGGAACGGGTGGGCTGGAGTGCCACAGACCCAGCAGGCCCAGTGGACACGGCAGACCCTGTGGACACGGCAGACCCAGTGGACAGTGGGACTGAGCGACTGCCGCCTCCTGCCCAAGCCAAGGAAGAGAGTGTTGGGGTGGTGGCGGCAGCAGGCGGCAGCAGGCGGCAGCAGAAGGAGCACCAGAAGGAGCATCGGAGGCACAGGCGGGCTTGTAAGGACATTGTGGGTCGGCGGCCCCGTGAGGGCAGGGCAAAGGCCAAGGCCAAGGCCCCCAAAGAGAAGAGCCGCCGGGTGCTTGGGAACCTGGACCTGCAGAGCGAGGAGATCCAGGGTCGTGAGAAGGCCCGACCTGATGTTGGTGGGGCCTCTAAGGCCAAGCCACCCCCAGCTTCTGCTCCTCCACCAGCTCCTGTACCCTCTGCCCAGCCCACATCTGCATCGGCTCCTATACCTGGGAAGAAGTCTCGGGAGGAAGCTCCAGGGCCACCAGGTGTCAGCCGGGCTGACATGCTGAAACTGCGATCACTCAGTGAAGGGCCACCTAAGGAGCTGAAGATCCGGTTGATCAAGGTAGAAAGTGGTGACAAGGAGACCTTTATCGCCTCTGAGGTGGAAGAGCGGAGGCTGCGCATGGCAGACCTCACCATCAGCCACTGCGCTGCTGATGTCGTGCGCGCCAGCAAGTGAGTTAGGGGCTGTCACCAATGAGGCTGCTGCCCTGGCCCGATGGGAGGCCCCCTTCCCCCGTCACCCTGTTCCTGTCCTCATTTCATTGTTCCCTCTGCAGGAACGCCAAGGTGAAAGGGAAATTTAGAGAGTCCTACCTTTCCCCTGCTCAGTCTGTGAAACCGAAGATCAACACTGAGGAGAAGCTGCCCCGGGAAAAACTCAACCCACCCACACCCAGCATCTATGTATGTGTGCCCCTGCCGTAGGGCTCTGACTGTTCGGGGGCCATTGGGGTGCTCGGAGCCTGGGACAGTGCTCTGATCTAGCCCTGTCTCCTGGTCGCCCCTCAGCTGGAGAGCAAACGGGATGCCTTTTCACCAGTGTTGCTGCAGTTCTGTACAGACCCTCGAAACCCCATCACCGTGATCCGGGGCCTGGCGGGTTCCCTGCGGCTCAGTGAGTGTGTGGGGTGGGAAGGTGGGGGTGGGCTACAAGGCTTTGGGACCCCTTGAGAGCCTCCACACTGTAAGACCCAGAAGAGTGACTGTAGTGAGCCCTCCGCAGTCATAGGCAGGCCATGTTGGAAGGGTGCTCTGGAGAGAGGGGTCTGCTGGCCTCAGGCTTTTCTCCCATCTGCCTCCAACAGTGAGCAAGTGGGGAGGGGATGTGTCTCAGGGCCTGGTTCAAGTCAATTTTGGTTTTCTTGGTGATAAAGAATGAGAAGAATACGGATTGCAGAGTATTTTTGAAGACTTGTGAATTGGGGCTTCTCTTTTCCAACCTTTATTGAGCAAAAGTAGAGGGAACTATATAGGAATATAAAAATCAGTCTTGTTTCCTTTATACCCGTATGTTTTTCCTTCCACTGAGTTACTTAAAGCACACTCTAGGCTTTCTCTTGACTAGTTCTTTCATGCCTGCAATGACAAAGAATCTGCCATTCATTAAGCTACCTACTTACTATGTGCACATGTGGCCTCACACACACCTGAGGACACTGGTGGAGGGGCAGAGGCTCAGAGCAGCAGTGGGAGAAAGAGGACTGGTTATGGATGGCCAGGCTTCCCAGCTTCCTGTGATACTGGGGTCTTCTGGGGCTGACCTCGTGGAAGCCTATGTCCAGTCTGTCAGAGCGCGGGGAGTAAGAAGGGACAGGGTGAGTTGGGTCCTCGCTCCTTGCCCTCTGCCCCGACGCCCTGCTCGGCCCTCCCTTGCAGACTTGGGCCTTTTCTCCACCAAGACCCTGGTGGAGGCGAGTGGCGAGCACACGGTGGAGGTGCGAACCCAGGTGCAGCAGCCCTCAGATGAGAACTGGGATCTGACGGGCACTCGACAGATCTGGCCCTGTGAGAGTTCCCGTTCCCACACCACCATTGCCAAGTATGCGCAGTACCAGGCCTCATCCTTCCAGGAGTCTCTGCAGGTGAGAAGCGAGCATAGGGAGGCAGGGGTGTGGGGTTAAGGGACTTGGAGGGGGGCTGCTGTGGGAGAGCTCCTGGAAGGTGGCTGACCCAGCCTGTGGCTAAGCAGGAGGAGAAGGAGAGTGAAGATGAGGAGTCCGAGGAGCCAGACAGCACCACAGGAACCCCTCCTAGGTATCGTACAGTATGCCCTTCTTTTCATGACTTACCCTCTTCCTCGTGCTTCTCCACCAATGTGTGCTCTTTGCCCCTGCAGCAGCGCACCAGATCCGAAGAACCATCACATTATCAAATTTGGCACCAACATCGACCTGTCTGATGCCAAGCGGTCAGTGGGGCTGAGGCCAGCAAAACTGGGGCAGCAGTGCTTGCTGGGCCTGCAGATCTAGGTTTAGCCTCTCGCTTTTATTGATTGCTGCAGGTGGAAGCCACAACTGCAGGAGCTGCTGAAGCTGCCTGCATTCATGCGGGTAACATCCACCGGTAACATGCTAAGCCACGTGGGCCACACGATCCTGGGCATGAACACAGTGCAGCTGTACATGAAGGTCCCTGGCAGCCGAACGCCAGGTGCGGGAGTTGCACGGGGGCGGGGCTGGTGTTGGCGTTCCTACGTCAGCCAATGAAGGCCAAAGGGTGGGCTTGTAACCGGAGCACAGACCTGTCTAGACCAGCCAGTTCTCTCTTGCCCCCTGCAGGCCACCAAGAGAACAACAACTTCTGCTCCGTCAACATCAACATTGGACCAGGCGACTGCGAGTGGTTCGCGGTGCACGAGCACTACTGGGAAACAATCAGTGCTTTCTGCGACCGGTGCGCGCCCTGAACCCCCTACCCCACACTAGGTCCACCCTCCATGTCCCATCTCTGAGTCCCCAGGTTTCCATCTGACCCTGTGGCCACCCCGCAGGCACGGTGTGGACTACCTGACAGGTTCCTGGTGGCCAATCCTGGATGACCTCTATGCTTCCAATATCCCTGTGTACCGCTTCGTGCAGCGCCCTGGAGACCTCGTGTGGATTAACGCAGGGACCGTGCACTGGGTGCAGGCCACCGGCTGGTGCAACAACATTGCTTGGAACGTTGGGCCCCTCACCGGTGAGAGAGTGGGGTACAGAGTCACTCGGTATTGAGGGGTGGAGCCTCGTGGTGGGGAGCTTGGAGGGCAGCCAGCAGTGAGGGAAGGGGCTGGGGTCCAAGTACCTAGGGGTTGTTTGAGAACCTTGTAGTAATCCCTTCTGGCCCGCAGCCTATCAGTACCAGCTGGCCCTGGAACGATACGAGTGGAACGAGGTGAAGAATGTCAAATCCATTGTGCCCATGATTCACGTGTCCTGGAACGTGGCTCGTACCGTCAAAATCAGCGACCCTGACTTGTTCAAGATGATCAAGTGAGGGTCCTATTTGGGAGGGAGCCCATCTCCACCAGATTTGGTCCCGCTCTTGTCCTGCATGTCAAGTGCAACCCCATTCTCCATCTTTCTCTCCACCTTTTACCCAATGTGCCCTGCAGTGTCAGTGCTGCGGTGCGTGACAAAGCTACTGCTGAGTTGTTTTATTTGACAATGGCCCAAAGAGATAAAAGCATACATGAAATTTGAAGTGTTTGAGAAGCCTACGTCAGGGGATGTGACCTGGGCATGGAGAGGGCCCAGTGGATAAAGCCTGCTGCCCCGCCGCAGCCGTGCCTCATGCCCACTTCCTTCCACCTCCCCGTCCAGGTTCTGCCTCCTGCAGTCCATGAAGCACTGCCAGGTGCAACGGGAGAGCCTGGTGCGGGCAGGAAAGAAAATCGCGTACCAGGGCCGGGTCAAGGATGAGCCTGCCTACTACTGCAACGAGTGCGACGTGAGTGGGCCCGCTTCCCTCTCTTTCGCTTCCCTGTTTTTCCCAGGGGGAGGGAGCATCCCTGCCCCAGGTGGAGGTGTTCAACATTATGGTCGTGATGAGTGAGAACGGCAGCCGCAATGCTTACCTAGTGTTGCGCCTCCCCGTGACTATCACTCCTTCCTGCCCCAGGTGGAGGTGTTCAACATCCTGTTCGTGACGAGTGAGAACGGCAGCCGCAACACTTACCTAGTGCACTGCGAGGCCTGTGCCCGGCGCCGCAGCGCGGGCCTCCAGGGCGTGGTGGTGCTGGAGCAGTACCGCACCGAGGAGCTGGCGCAGACCTACGACGCCTTTACGCTGGTGAGGCCCCGGCGCCGCGGCGCTGGGCGGGCCGTCGGGCGGGGAGCCGCGGGGGGCGGGCTGTGGGGTGGGCTGACCCGCCCCTGCCCCTGAGCCCCCCCGCCCGCTTTCTCCCCGCAGGCCCCCGCCAGCACGTCTCGATGAGGCCGGATGCCCCGCCCGCCTGCCCGCTGCAGGGCGCCGCGGGGCCACCAGCACACGCCTGGGCTGGACCTAGGTCCCGCCTCTGGCCGGGAAGGGGGTCGGGCCCAGCCCTTCCACCCCATTGGCAGCTCCCCTTCACTTAATTTATTAAGAAAAAAAATTTTTTTTTTAACAAATATGAGGAAAAAAGGAAAAAAAAAAAAGGGAGACGGGGGAGGGGGCTGGCAGCCCCTCGCCCACCAGCGCCTCCCCTCACCGACTTTGGCCTTTCTAGCAACAGACACAAGGACCAGGCTCCGGCGGCGGCGGGGGTCACATACGGGTTCCCTCACGCCTGCCAGCCGCCTGCCCGGCGCAGATGCGCGCGGCTCGTGTATGTACATAGATGTTACGGCAGCCGAGGTTTTTTAATGAGATTCTTTCTATGGGCTTTACCCCTCCCCCAGAACCTCTTTTTATTTCCAATGCTAGCTGTGATCCCTGTACATGTCTCTGTTTATTCACTTGGTTATGATTTGTATTTTCTGTTTTTTTGTTTGTTTTTGTTTTTAATTTATAACAGTCCCACTTACCTATTTATTCATTTTTGGGAAAACCCGACACCCCCGCACCCCCCAAGCCATCCTGCCCGTCCTTCCAGGGGCCGCCCGCCCGCCGCCGCTGGGCTTTCCCTCCGCCCCAGTGTGGCCCAACCGTCTCCACCCACCCGCCGCTCCAGCCGGGTTCTCATGGTGCTCAAACCCGCTCCCCTCCCCTACGTCCTGCACTTTCTTGGACAAGTCCCCCCACCCCACCCGCCCCAACCCCAACCTTGCCTGAGGGTGAGCGACTCCTGTACTGTAGGGGAAGAAGTGGGAACTGAAATGGTATTTTGTAAAAAAATAAAATAAAATAAAAAAAATTTTAAAGTTTTAAAGAAAGAACTATGAGGAAAAGGAACCCTGTCCTTCCCAGCCCCGGCCAATTTTAAAAACATGGATCTTCCCCTCGCGCCTGCGACCCCCACTTTTCTTTTTAAACGTCAAACGGCCCAGGGCCAGAGCCTCCCTGGTGCAGGGACACCCCAGAAAAGTTTCTCTGGGGATTTATTTTCGTGTTGTCAGTTTTTTCTCCTCCACGCTGGGGCTGCGGAGGGGTAGGGGGTTTACAGTCCCGCCCCTTCGCACTGCACTGTCTCTCTGTCCCAGGGGCAGAGGGGTCTTCCCAATCCTACCCTATTTTCGGTGATTTTTGTGTGAGAATATTAATATTAAAAATAAAACCGGGAAAAAAAAAATCCTGTTTATAGTGTGCTGGTGACAGAGTACTGGGAGGAGGGCTGCGAGCCCGTGATTGATGGGGAGATTGCGCAGACCCCAGCCAGGGTGAACCCCTCCCCAGAGGCCCCTGTGGAATGTCCAGATCTCTGGTCTGCTCCTCCATGTGGGGGGGTGCCTACTCCTGGAGCCGCATTCCAGGATGAGGGGGGTGGGGTGGGGAGAGGCTGGGCCGGGGGAGGGGCAGGAAAGAGGGCTATAAGGGCCGCGGCCCAGGCGGGCAGAAGCCAAGCAGGCCATGGCGGATGTCCTCGGGGCGCAGAGACCAGTTCCCAGCGGCGGCCCAGAGCCCCGGGATCCCCTGGACTGCTGGGCCTGCGCTGTGCTGGTCACTGCCCAGAATCTGCTGGTGGCTGCCTTCAATCTTGTCTTGCTGGCGCTGGTGCTGGGGACCATCCTGCTACCCGCTGTCACCATGCTAGGCTTCGGCTTTCTCTGCCACTCCCAGGTGAGCGGGTGCCCCAGGGTGTGCGGGTGTATGTGGCCATGGTGGCGTTGGGGTCTATGGGCCACAACTTCTCCCCGCCCTGGCAGTTCGACTTGAGCCTGACGCCTCTTACCCTACAGTTCCTACGCTCCCAGGCACCCCCTTGCACCGCACACCTGAGGGACCCAGGCTTCACGGCCCTGCTGGTCACCGGATTCCTGCTCCTCGTGCCGCTGCTCGTGCTTGCCCTGGCCAGCTACCGCCGCCTCTGCATGCGCCTCCAGTTAGCCGACTGCCTCGTGCCCTATAGCCGAGCCCTCTATCGGCGTCGACGCACCCCGCAGGTGCGGCAAATCCGGGCCTCACCAGGGTCCCAGGCCGTTCCCACATCTGGAAAGGTATGGGTCTGAGGACCCACGAGTCAAGAACCACCCTGACGACTGCTCTCCCTTTCAGTCTGCCCAAGGACTTGAAGACCCAGGGGGGTCTCCCGACCTACTTTGCCCCCACCCCTTGCCCAAGCGGGTCCTAGCATTCCCCTGGCGAACTGCAGCATCTGTGAGCCCAGTGCGGGTGAAAGTTTGCCACACCCTGGAAAACCTTTCTTTTCACTACCCATATCTGAATCCTGAACATCTGGGCTGGACCCTGCGCGCGCGCACACACACACACGCCCCTCCCCCCACCCTTGTGACTAGGACAACTAAACCTCGCTGGTGCTCTCCTTTTCTGGTGCAGCTCCTCTAGTATTTACGGGCCCGTGGGTGAGGTTGGAGGGGAAGGAGTCATCACATGTTAATAAAGAATTAATGACCTGAACGTGTTTCTGGGATCCTGCGAACAGAAGGGCGGTAGAAATACTGTCACTCCTGTTCTGAGCCCAGGGGCAGGAAACAACACGGGAGGGGGTCGAGTGGCTCAAGTGTGCAGACTGGAGCATCCTTCAGCTTCTTGGCCTTATCGCATTAGCTTGTTCTTCCTGGCCAGACCCGAGCTCTGTCCCTGACCCCAAAGTCACCTCCCCATCAATAGAGTGGAGGGGGCCTGGCCTTTGTCGCCTGCCTTGCTCCCCTTGGGGACCCGAGCCCGTTCTCTGACCCCAGCTTAGAGGAACTCTGGTGTTGCCAGGCCGGGGAGGAAAACAATGGGCCTTCCGGAGCAGGATGACGCCCGCCCCCGCTCCCCGCCACAATTCTGGAGCAGCAGCGTGGGAGGGAAGATGGAGAGGTCCACCCTGGGGCCTGTTGGTCTGAAGCTCAGACTGTTCCCCATCCACGCCCCCGAACCTGAGGGGACCTTTGGCACTCATGGACGTCCAGGTCATGGAAGGAGGGTTGACAGTGTTTCCGACTTCAGGTATACCTCCCCTCTTGGGATGAGGTGTGAAATATCTGCCCGGGCATCCCAGCTATACACACACAGGCCACTTCGGTTACAAGTTTAATGAAGTCTGAAAGGCATACGCGATCGTGGTTAGATATAGGGAGGCCCCGCCAGGCTCTCTCTTTGCACCTCAATAGAAACGATGTGATGTCCGGGTACCATGGCCAGGCCCAGCACACGGGGTTCCCCAGCAGAGAAGGAATCTGGAAAGAAGGGTCAGAACATAAGGGAGGCAGGCTAGCGTCCGTCCCGCCCCTTTTGAGCCACGACTTACAGCCCCAGAAAATAGGGGCGTGCAGCCAGGCACTGAACGGAAAGGGAAATGCCTTGAGGCTCCACCGCATCCCCAGGCTGTGCATTTCCCGGGCACTGACCCGAAGGCTTGAGGAACTCCTGCGCCGAACCTAGGATAACATTGCAGTCGCGGTCGGTGCAGAGGAAGCAGCCAACCAGTGTCCGTCCATCTGTCATGCGAATGCGCATAGTCTTGTTGAGTAGCGCCTCCAGCTGCCGCCGGGCGCGCGCGGCCGGCGAGTCCTCGCGCTCCCCGTCTGAGTCCTGCGCGGGGCAGGACAGGCGCTCAGACCGCGCAGCCCGGGCTCCTGCCCGCCCACGGAACCACAGCTCCCGACAGCACGCGGGGCGCTCACGCGAATCCCAGAGGCTGCCGGGAGCTGCAGTCCCCCCTTCATCCCCCCATTTTGCTCCCCGACTGCCCCTCAATCTTGGAACCCGAGCCCGCGCTAACCCCAGCGCTGGAGCTGCTTTGACGCCGGCTGCAACAGCCATTCTCCTCTCGTAGCAGCATGGTCGGCCCAGCTCCGGCCATTTGTCCCGGGGCCTCCTCCAGGCCCTTCAACTCCCTAAGAACCTTTCGGGTCCGCTGGTCTGAGATCTCGCGAGCTCTCCCGGCAGCTGCTTTCGCGAGATCACCTCTCCTCCTAGTCTCCTCGGCAACTGTAGAGATCTCGCGAGCTCTGCTTCTCCAGCGCTGCGGATCACTGAGGGCTATTACGCCAGATATATTAAAATATCGCGAGTTTTATCGCTCCAGTTTCACCTATTCTCTAAGAACCCTGGAATTTAGCAAGAATATACTTTTTCACAAACGCATAACTCCCTCTTGTTTTCCAGCCTCGCGAGAAAGTCTATCCTAAATATCCCTCGTAGGCCAGACCACTCTGAAGTAGAACAGTGTGTTCGCTTTCACCCCGGAACTCTTGAGGACGTAACTCGATTACTTGAAAACGGGTACCAGACTACGTTTCCCATGAGCACACACCACTCTGCCCTCCCGGCGTTTGATCTCCATGGACGGTGGCCGGAAAAGGACAATGGTTTCCATGTCAGCGGATAAACACTCTCGCTTTACCACCTGGACGAGGGAGACTGTAGTACTGTGTGCTGAGGAGCCGGGGGGTGGCCACTAAAGGAGCAATAGCCATGCCGCGCCGGGGCCTAGTGGCCGGGCCGGACTTTGAGTGTTTCCAGCGTCGATATTTCACGCCGGTTGAGGTGGCTCAACACAACCAGCCGGAAGACCTCTGGGTGTCTTACCTAGGATACGTGTATGACCTAACGCCATTGGCACAGGAGTACAAAGGTAAGGGCCACACTTCGGGTTAGCTTCGGGGTGTGTATTTGGGGGTGCCTAGTCCTTGGGCAGATAGCTATGGCGGCGGCTGCTCCTTCCCAGGAGATCTGCTGCTGAAACCCATCGTGGAAGTTGCGGGCCAGGACATCAGCCACTGGTTTGATCCCAAGACCAGAGACGTGAGTTATGCTTGATGTTAGGGAGAGGGGCACTAGAAAGCAGGGATGGGGAGGAAAAGCAGGGGCTAGACAGAGCCCGAGATAGTGACTGCTCCCACCTCTCGTCCCCCAAACCCTGCTTTAAAGATCCGCAAGCACATAGATCCGCTGACTGGTTCCCAGAGATACCGCACCCCCCGGGGCCGCTTTCTGCACGTCCCACCTCAGCTGCCCCGTTCCGACTGGGCCAATGATTTCGGGAAGCCCTGGTGGCAGGGGCCGCGTTATCAAGTGGGGCGTCTGTCAGCCAAGACCCGGAACATCCGTATAATTAACACGCTCACGTCGCAGGAGCACACACTGGAGGTGAGAACTCGTGCCTGGGGACAGGTTAGAGGGAACTGGGAATCCCAGCAAATCTCCAAGTAGATCTTCGGACCATTAGCTCTCCAAAAACTGGTGGGAATGGCATTTTCTCCCCTTATAGGTGCAAGCGAGGAAAGGAGACCACCTAGGTCCCCAGGGTTGGGAATTGATGGAGTGGGTGGGTCACAGGGTCCAAGAGACTCCTTCATAAGCTCAGGGCAGCAGTTCGTGCATCTTAGTGCTGGGAGTCCTTGGAAGCTTTTATGTGCTGTGGGAGAGTAATTGCGATTGGACTCTTAATAGTCTATGCTATTGTGGGGATGAGGTTACCGGGCAGTGACATTGACCCCTTAGAGCCATCTATTAGAAGTGGCTGCCATAAAAACAGGTAGTACTTTTAGGGCATGCTGGAGCTCCAAGTTCATTTCTGGGACTGTGGAGTAGTGCCTGAAGCTATCTGCCAAGGGAGGCACTCTGATCCCAACTCTGTTATCTTTTGGGCTCTGGACCTTTGCTGAGAGAGAGAGATCGAGATCGTTCTACCCAGAGTTCTGGGAATGGAGTACTTTCGTGTTCTCTAGGTGGGGGCCCAGGAATCAATGTGGGAAATCCTACACCGCTATCTCCCCTATAATGCACATGCTGCCAGCTACACATGGAAATATGAAGGGAAGAACCTGAACATGGAATATACCCTGGAAGAGAATGGGATCCGCGATGAGGAGGAAGAATTTGACTATCTCAGTATGGATGGTACACTCCACACACCTGCAATACTGCTCTACTTCAATGATGACCTCACAGAGTTATAGGAAAGGAGATGTATGCTGATGTAGACTCGACATATTTTGAATTTGGCTTTTTCTGTGCCCTATAGGGAAAGAGATGGGGATTGGGTGGGGAGGTATGCCCGGACCTTGACCTCCATTCTATTCTGGGAACTGGCCTGTGGTTCCCGTGCCCTTCTGAAATGTAAAGGTCTGGTTACCCAAGTCCATTTTACTGAGAAAACTAGGGAGAATGCCAGAAATTAGTTAATTTTAAATAATGATACAAGATGACAAAGTATCTTGGATTAGAGAGACGTAGGAGAGGATAAGTCAGATAGAGCTCAGGTAGAACTTTTTTGATAAGAGAAAGAGAAGTCCTACACAGGATGAAGGATGGAACAACTGTTTTTGGCAATGATGGAAGTGGGATGGCTGCAGGAATATGGTGTTTACAAAGACAAATAGGAAAGATCTATCACTGGCCATACAAAGCTGGCCAATCTCTCATTTGAACAGTAATTGATAGCTGAAACCCAAGGGGAAGAATCGAAGTGAATGGTTACTAGGGATTTCAAGTTAGATATTAAAGTATGTGCTTTATATACCTTGTTTAATATAACTACCCATTACCACTATTCTACAGATAAGGCTCTTGAAGTCTAGCAAGATTTAATAGCAAATAAGCATATTAGTTAGTAACCAGAATGGAAACCCAAATCTGCCCTATTCCAAAGTCCATTTTCTTTACATTGTAAATGGAATATCTCAATGTTGTAAGCTCATTATTCAGTGGAAAACTATAAGCCTTTTGTGCAGTCAGTTTTTTCTGTAATTCTTGTCTTTGGAAGGGAGGTCTGCAGGGGCAGAGAGGAGGCAGTCAGGCTGTATCAGTTCAGTGATAGTTATTGAGAACTATTTTCTGGTTAGTCTGTAGCAGAATTTTTCTTCTGACTTTTTCAAGGAAAAGAGTTAGGTATATATATGTGTATATATATAGACTCCAGGAAAAACTAGAGTTGGGACAGGGCCTTCAGAGTGGGACACTTTGGAGTAAGAGGAGGCCAGTGGCACAGTTTATTCATGATGAGCCTGTGTCTCTTAGGGAGTATAAGGAAGGCAGGCTTTGCAAGATGTTGATTCTGCAAGTGGGGACTTGACAGGGGTAATGTAAAGACAGGAGCTAAGTAAATCAAAACTCCTGATGACCAAAAGAGAACTGTATTTGGTCCCCCTTAACCTAAGCAGGGGAAGAGAATAGGAATAACAGGTGAATTTCCTGACAGTAGCAGGCAAAAAGGAAGCAGGGAGAGAATAGTGCATCTTCCTGACATGGGGCCCCAGGGCCCAGGGCTGAGAAAGGTGGCCCCTGTGAGACACTAGGTGGGCTGCACAGGAGTTTTTTGAGGGGCTATGAAAGGGATGGACAAAGGTGGAGACATCTGTACTGGTTTCAGAAGTATCTGAACACACTGTGAGACTGAGGGCTTCCGTTAAGTCCCATGTAAAACAAGAGTCTATGAATTATCTAAATCGTTTTGATGTTCAATCAATTCTGCAATGGTTTCATGTGTATCTTGTTTGCTCACTTAAACACTGAACTATTTGAAAACCAAAGTTATGCTGTTTGCTGTGGACCTATGCTATCCTCAGGGCCTGTGCCTGTGGGATCTGCCACTCTGGAAGAGTCTCCTTCTTCAGTACCTGTTGCCAGAAATATTCCTCTCCTCACACATCCAGTCACTCTCCAAGTTGAATCTAATGTCTAAATATCTCTGGAATTTGTCTTTTTTCCAAGCTACCATAACCTCTGTTAAAATTATGGATGCAATTGGCTGGCTGGCTACTAGACTGTAAGCTCCTGAGGGCAGAGATCATGTCCTCTTATTCCCTGCTGTACTCCCAGTGCTAGGTACAAAGTTGCTGCTCAATAAATTTTGATTGAATTCAAATGTTAAGTGAATTCGTCTGTCTATAACTACTGGATGGGATGTTGTGTCCTAGGAGGCAAGGTGGGACCAAGAAATAGGATGTCTGGATCCTGTGCTGTAATCTCTACCCACAGGTTTCTCTTTCCTTGCTTCCCATAGGTCCAAGACCAAAAATCACTCCACAGGGGTTCTTCCCTTTATCAGAGATTTTTGTGGCAATGTCATTCTTTTCCCCATATGGCCACTAGGTGGCTGTAATTGCCTACAGAGTGAGGGAGAGGTGTCTGCAAGAAGGAAAACTGAGGATTAAAGGTGGCCCCAGTGAAATTTATAGGCAGGAGGGAAAGGTCTGAAGGAAAAAAAAAAAAAGGAAAAACCACAAGGCCACTATTTTATTAGCATTAGGTTTATTCCTGTCTTTAATTTTTTTTCACAAGTATCTGCCAGGAGAGGAATGTAGTTTGACAAATAAAATTCATGGGATAAGTAGAGGATCTGATTGCAGGTATGGGTGTGTACGGGGTAAACCTGTGGAAGAGCTGTGGAAGGAATAAAGACTACAGATCTTTAAAATAGAGTGCATCTGATTGCAGGTATGGGTGTGTACGGGGTAAACCTGTGGAAGAGCTGTGGAAGGAATAAAGACTACAGATCTTTAAAATAGAGTGCATTCGTTTATTAATATTTACTGACATTTTTGGGTAGGGAGCCTATAAAGCTTTCTACTCGGCACTACCTTGTTCCCTAAATTCCAGGAGGATTATTTACATGAAGAATGTGTAAATAATGCCTTAGCCTAATTCCTAGAACGTAAACAGAAAATGAGTGTGTGGTCCAAGTCCTCTTGCGGTAATCTCTTGTTTTGGAGGGAGGTGGGGTGGCAGATTACTGAAAGCTGCCTATCCTCAGTAAATCATAGCAGCTTCATAGCGCTCAATTGGCAAATATGTCCCACAAGCCTCAGTCCCTATATGCACATACCCTGGGGGGTAATAAAAAGGTTTTTTGTTTTTTTTCTTTACTGTTCCTTGCAGAAAGCTTGCCTACTCAATGGAATAAAACACACATGGAAGGTAAATGAAAATAGTACCTCATGAAGGACCAAATTATGGTATTGAAAAAGTTTCCACTCTTAGAGCAAATCGCAGGTGGATTCTTAACCTGGACCTGCAGAAATGGTTTCTAAATATTGAATCTATGTGCAGATGAGTATTATTTTGGAGAAATGTGCTATAAATTCCACCAGTCTCTCAAACTGCCCCAACCTCTTGCCCCTGAGTAGTATGTGTATACACATACACACACAGATAAAGACCCTCAAAGGTAAAGTATCAAAGGTGATGATATAACATGGTCCCAGGATTCCTGGCACTTGTTTCAAGGGTGTACCTCAACCTGTTACACCTATGTTTCCATGGCAGCAATTCCTAAAGCTTTAACTCTTGGGACAAAGTTTATGACTAGTCTAAAACATTTTATTACTGTCTCAAATTCTGATCTGGATGTACCCTGGATCTGAGTGAGGCTGTTATGACCACAATACTCAATCGTGACATCAGGATAAGGTTAATGCACCCAGCATTAACAGCTGAGTTTAGGTAAACCACAGATGTTTCATATTGGGATAACAGCCACTTTATCATAGAGCAGCAGGAGCACAGGAAGATTTAGTTGTAAAGAGAGCAGACAATTTGAAACTGCATGACCTTGGACGTCAATGATTAGGCATTCAAAATACAAACAGATATGCGGTACAAGTACTGGGTATTCTAGGCACATGGAAAACGCTTAAAAAAAAAAGCTGGCATATGAATAAGTAAAGTGAGGCCATGCAAATGGGGCCAGGGATAGATAAGTTTGAGAGGAGGAACATGATGGTAGAGAGACTGCTAGGATTAAATCTTTTACTAGGAGCAGCTCAGCTCCCGCCCTGTGGGAGCTTAATGTTTAGTGGGAAGTTGGGCATCCAGCTTCTATCACCTGACTTAATCATCTCTGTGTCCCCAACAGCCACATAATGCCTGGCCAAGAGTATGGTAAACACATTTTTTTCAGGAATAAATGGTACACATAACTCCTGCTATTTAAAATGTCTGAACTCAGGAGCCAAATAGATTCAGATAATGTGGTGATCCTTGCTACTTGGCCATTGTAACTATTTGAAGAGAGCTGAAGAGATCTGAATAGTAAATAACATTTGTGTTGATAAATTCTCCTAGTCCTTCTATAGTAAGGAAGATGAATATTCCCTTGCCCTTAATAAACCACCTATGGGGGTACATATTACTCCACCACAGTATATCAGTTGAGAATGTATTTGGCTGCAAGTAACAGAAGGCTGACTGCTGAGGCTTAACTATAAGGGGCTGAGTTTTCCTCACAAAGAACGTTTGTAGTGTAGTGACTCCACTCCATTGTTCATTAATGTTTCAGGTAGCTCCTGTTTTTGTTCTCATGTTTATGGTCTTTTTGGCTGTTCTACTTCTATCCTGTATTGTGGGCAGGAAGGAAAAGAAGAGGAAAGGGACAATGCCTGTATCAAAGCAAAAAATTTCCCAGACATCCTTAGCGGACCTCTGACTATGTCTCATTGATAGGAAATGCATTACACAACAACCCTTAGCTGCAGTGGAATCTGGGATAGTATTTTACATTGACATCCACAACAAAAGCAAGGTCGACTACTGTGGAAGGAGAGAATGGATACTGGGTAGGAACTAGGGATATCTTCCACAAGAAGGGTGAACATGCTATTCATCCATTCATTGATTAACCAAAAAGTTACTAAGCACTTTGTGCCAGGCACTGTTCCACATACTGGGAATACAGCAGTGAAAGCAACAGGCCAGGCTCCTGCTTTATTGGGACTTACACTCTGTTAAGGCAAAGAAGTAGATAAGATCATTTCAGATAATACTAAAAGCGATACACTATTTTTGTATGTGTGTGTGTATATACAGACACACACACATACACAAATGCTAAAAGTACTATAAAGACAAAAAACTAGAATCACATTAGAGGGATGGTCAAATGGTCAGAGGGTTGTGTGAGATGATCCCAAAGACTGGTATATATTACCTGTAGATTTGCATTTACCTGCATTATCACTTAAACCTAACAACAAACTTAAGTACTTTTTATTTAGACTGAAAAAAGAAGGAAATTGAAGCATAGGGACGTTAAGTAACTTGCCAAAGGTCATACAACTAGTAAGTAGCAGAGATGGGCTCTGAACCAAGACAGTCATAGGCCACTTACTCAATTACTGAGTGGCACCACCTCCCTGCATGATCAACAAAGGATGCTGGTTTCAGGTACCTATTCCTGCTTAAAGAAACCATCTCAAAACTTAATGTCTTAAAACAATGGCTGTAATTTATTTTGCTAATGAATCTGTAATTTGGGCAGGGTTCAGTAGGAACAGCTCATTTCCATCCCAAAAGGTGTCAACTGGGTGGAATGCTGAAAGCTGGAGGATTCACTTCCAAAATGGCTCACTCACAAGGCTGGCAAGTTGATGCTGGCTATTGGTTCTTTTCCATGTGGGCCTCTACACAGGGCAGGAATGGGCTTCCTCAAAGCATGGTGGCTGGGTTCCAAGAGCATATATCCCAAGAGGACCAGGAGGAAGCTGAATGACCTTTTATGACCTCACCTCAAATCCAAGGGGAGGGAGCT